CTTGCTAGTACATTTAATATTAATGAAGAAACCATAGAATATGCTTCTTTAATTTTTTACATGGAAAACGACAAAAATTTTTCTGGATACCCTCCCTTTTTTTGGGATATTAGCAGTGTCTGCATAGAAAATTTTTTCAAAGCATATGATGCACGTATCGTGAAAAAAAAAGAATTCGATACGAGACGAAGTAGACTAAATTTGTGTGAAAATGTCGCAAAGTGCATTAAAGTCTCGTCGGAATATTTCCAGTGCAAACTCACTCAGTGCAAGGACTTGTGTCCGTGGAGATGGACCGATGGAAAACTCCGACGCCGCTGAATCCGCCTCGAGCGCAAACTAGACTCGTGCCAAATGGAGTCAACGTTTTCGCTAACATGCTTCGCTTTCTCGCTCTACGGAGATGGCACGAATGGAAGAGGATAATGGAAGTTGAGCGGAATGCGAAGCGATAAACAGGTGATTGCGATGCTCTTCGACAAGAAACAGTCGAATTGATGTGGAGCGTTAGTAAATGGAGGTAATTCTCGATAGACTAACGCGCCATTAATGTGATACCAAAAACATGACTCTGCGATACTTGTCCGTTGTTGCTAAAGAATTTCAAAATTAAATAAAAATATTACATTGTTTAATGCATTAAAATATATAATATTACATATGTAAATGATTTATAATTTTATAAAAAGGCGTAATATAAAAGAGGATAATCAATTTTTTTCACTTTTTGATAACCTTTACAAAAAATATAGTATATCTTTGAATATATGTATGAAGTTCCACTTATAATTATAAAAATTTTTAATAAATCAATATAAGCTCGATTAAAAAACGTTCCTAATTAATTTCTTGAAACAATATTAATATTTAGTTTTTAGTTATGTCAGTAAGAATGTAAAGCTAAATAACTAAAGTATCTACGTCACATTTTAATATAATGAATTGCTATTTAAAAAATGATTTTATAATGTATTTTGTCATGTTTATCAATAAAATGTTCATAGATTCATATCTTTTGATCATACACATATTAGTTAATAGACTCAATTCGTTAATAGACTCAAGCTTCTATATTAAAATCTATTATGGATTGAAAATAAATCGATCTAGCTAATAATTTATGATTTTGCCGAGAAAAATATACGCAATAGAATTAAATAATAGTAATATAATACGTAACAGAATTACTCGTCTTTGATAATATAAAATAATTTTAATATTCCAGATATTAAATATTACGAATAATATTACGAAGAATGAAATTAACTTTTAAAAAATAAGATAAAAGAATAGTTTTTAAGTTTATTTTACGCTATTCTCTCTTTCATATGATGTATTTAACAGTAAGTTTTCCAGGTGCAAGTTGTCCGACATACGATTAACGGTATTCATAACGGACTACGAAATAATTTGGTCACTGAAAAGAGGTCAGCTCAACCTGTTCATTAACATTTATTTGTCACGTTAGAATATTCATCAAATCATTCGTTTGCGAACGTAATTATAATTATATATATAAATGAACTGTCTTATACGAAAATGGTGAATTTCATTGTGGGCTATTTTCATTGATACAACACGTAAGGATAGATTGGAATTCATTTATCTGAGAAAAGGATATGGATACTCGATCGAGAGAAGTTTTCCAGTCTCGCGCGCTGTTGAATTGATTGAGTTGCGAACTCGATAGTTTCATTAATGAGGACTTTGCGCGAGATCGGTAACGAATTCCGTCAGCGTATAGATAGATCGATATTACGTTACGTTTATCATTTATTTGGAATTAAACGATATTATGCCATATTAAACATTATGAATTGGAATGTGATTAATAATTATAATAACATATACATACATCTATTCCTATTGTATTTTCCTTCGCGTGAAATGATATAACGATATTATTCGGAAATGTTATAACGATATTATTTGGAAATGTTAACTACGCCGAAATATTAATTGCTTATATATTCAAAAATTTTGACAAAAAATTTGACAAAGTATTATAATATAATAATATTACAATATTACAAAGTATTATAATAATATTCTAAAACAAAAAAAAATGTTTACACAAGTTTATAGGAAGATTACAATATGCCGCAAATCACATTTAACAAAACTTCAATCCGTGTATTATTCATTATTTTTATACATCGTTGCGCATTAATATCGTTTTAGACGTTAAAGTATTAAGTGCTGCTCATGCTACTAAGAGCAGCGAAAAAAGAGAAGAAGAACAAAGTTTTATTCTGTTTTTTAGGTAAGAAAGTCAATTAATAAAACAAAAGACATCGCAATAACGAACATGTTGGAAAAATACAGTTAATTGATTTAATTGAGGTCGTATGTTCGTGAGTCTCTAACGATATATCGATCACATTATCTTTTCTTCAAATTATATTAAAAATAAATCGAGAAATAAAGTTAATCTTTTATTAGTTTTAACATTATTTTGTCAAACGTTATCATTATTCCAATTATTTTTAGAAACTGTCCTATCAATTGTCACGATGATACCATTACATCAATTCAACTTCAACCTTTGATATTTTAAGAGATAAATTATGCTACACAACTAATCAATAAATATTTGTTCACAAACATCTTTCTAATCGAAGATTCTTTAATCAATTATAAGGAATGTTACGTCTATAATAAACATTATACAAAAGGTGACGTAAGATAAGATAAACTCTTTTATCCGTTTAGCTGCACACAATATGAAATGTATCGATATGTTAAAATAACTATTTTTATTATAAGCTGAATATTTCGCTAAACTTAAATATTCATTTAAAAAACATATCTGCATAAAAATCGTTCATTGCACGCAACACATACAGGAAGATAAATTTAATTATATAAAAGAAAATAAAAGCTTACTACATACTTTGATTGCATTTTTTATCTAGATCAAATTTTTATTACTCCCTGAATCGAAAACGACTTGATCGATCGATAGTTTAGAATAGACTATCACATCGAGATATACAAGCAGTTAATCGTGCAGAGGAGATCGCGAGACGCATATCGTATCAAATGCAGCTTTCGTGCCAAATCCGATTTGGAATACAATCGACGTGGCTAAAGAAAGTTCAAGAGGTAGGTTATCGGCGAGAGTAATCGCACCAGATATTGACAAATCACTTTTAAACCAAATTATCTTGTCAGGTTTTACGTGTCCGTTAAATTTTTTAAATAGAAAAAAGAGATATTTCTTTTATATAAAAGAAAAAAAAATTTTTATTAAATGCATATCTTTTTTTAAAAAAAAAAAAGATTCATTCGTTCCTCACAAAAATCGTGCGAAACGTATTTTATGAAATCGTTCATTATTTCATCCTAATACATTTTATACATTATATGACAGTTTATAACACAGTTTATACATTATATGACAATTGATCATGTTTGAAATAAAGCACAATGTATTTTCAATTATCCACATTTTGATCCATCTATATTCTGCGCGAGTATTATTTCAGCACTATTATATATTGACTATACATTACTGTGTGAAAGCAAAGATTTCAAAGTAGCCGAGAGAACAGAGTTTTATGTTCTTTTCATTATGTTAAAAAGTTACTTTCGAACGACGAGAGTTCCACTTGGAACGGTATACTCGTCATCTTCATATCCTCCAATGACATACGTCCACGTTGGAAATTCAACCAGAGTCACACTGTCTCACTTTATCTCGTTTCCCTTCTCTTTGCACAACTGTTGACGTCATCAGCGAACATGCTATTTTGTACAATGCTTTCGTCCTAATTTTGAATATTTTTATGTTTTTTTAAACTTATTCTGCATATATATTTTTCTATTCGCGCTAGTAGAATTAAAGTAAAAATATTTTTAATTAAATAAAAAATATTTTTAAATCTAAAGGAATTACTTACGTTATCAACTTAAATAAGTACACAATTTTCTATTTATTAAATATTTTATATAGAAAACCAATAATACTTATTATCAAATAGATTCTTATTATTGTAACTAAAATATTTTGAAATAAAATATATTTACTTATAATATTTTTTAAAAATTTTATAATTATTTAAAATAAAACGATTATTATTAAAT